TCACTCAATTCCCTCTTCCAGATCACTTATAAAGACGTTAAACAGTACTGGCCCCAGTACAGATCCCTGCTGCCAGCTTGATGTAACTCCATTCCCCACCACTCTCTGGGTCTGGCCAGTTTTTTCCCAGTGACTAGTGCACTTGTACAAACCACGAGCTGCCAATTTCTTCCGGAGAATACTGTGGGAAACAGTGTCAAAGGCTTTACTAAAGTCCATGCAGACAACATCTGCAGCCTTTCCCTCATCCACTAAGCAGGTCACCCTGTCACAGAAGAAGATCAGGTAGATCAGGCAGGACCTGCTTATCACAAACCCATGGTGGCTGGGCCTGATCCCCTGGTTGCCCTGTGCAGACAACATCTGCAGCCTTTCCCTCATCCACTAAGCAGGTCACCCTGTCACAGAAGAAGATCAGGTAGATCAGGCAGGACCTGCTTATCACAAACCCATGGTGGCTGGGCCTGATCCCCTGGTTGCCCTGAATGTGCCAACGAACCTTAAAGCTTAGTTTGCTTAGTTCTGCTTTCTGTGGTCTTCTGCTACCTCTGCCTGTTCTTTGGTTTTTAAATAAATGTCATCAGATGAAACTTTTCCTAAATTTTTCTCTTTATTTAGCTGAGGGCCATCATGACAGTGCTCTTACCCATGTTCTGTATACCATCATAGCTTTCCTGGGTGTTGCAGATCACAAGGTAAATAACTTGTATTCTAGTAGGTTTAATATTTTTCTAACTTCTGTAGGTAAGAATTTCACCATCTCAGAGCTAATCCAAGCCTAAGTCAAAACCAAAGAGCTGAACATCCCCAGTGGAACTGAACCAGCATTCTAATTTTTACATCCTGATTGGAGTATAAACAGCTTTGACACAGCATCCCAAACCTTATAAGATTCAACATGTATAACTTATTGATAAGGACTTTGCTGTGATGCATAACATAAAAGGACTCATCAAAATTGCCATGAAGTATTCTGCCATCAGTGTTCTGGTTGTTCATAATGCTTCGCATACAAGCAATTTCTTGCTCATTTTTGGGGCCTGTGTTTTGTTGCTGCTTCTGTATATTTCCTCAGTCTTTCCTTTACATTAGACATTTGTATTTGAAGACACAGACTCTTGATGCTCCTCAGCAGTAGAGTCCCATTGTAATTGGTGCTGTGAGTAACTGAGTATCATAATCTCACTGTACAGGCTTGGCCTGGCTGATGGAGTTGTTCTCTTAGCTTAGTCTTGCTGCTTAAAGTGGCTGCATTGAGGAGTAAAACAGGGGAAAAAAACCCAATACTGAGCAGCTGAGAAAGTATTCATATAAAAATGACATGTTAGGCTGGTTTACAGTGCAGGAGGCAGGAGTGATCTCAGGGAGATGAGATGCTCTGTGTATGTATCTTGTGATTCATCTTGTGAAAGAAAATGTTGTGAAGAAATGTGATATGGTGTGATTAAAGGTAAGTGGATGAACAGGTTATGAAGGGCTTAGGGGACAAGGTGATGTGACCCTTTGGGGGTTGATGGATGCTGTCAACATGTTTTTGATAGTGGAACAAGCTTTGTGTGATTTTTCTTCTTCCTTCTGCTGTTCACTACCATTTTGCTACTGTTTCTTGCTCATTAACACCATTGATAGTTCTAAAATTCAAATCATATTAGGTTGTTGTGAATACTGCTAAGTATAACCACGTGTGCTAATGTTACTGTTTTTAGCTAGAGTAACAACTACAGGAAACATCCTGTCTCTGAATTTTGTTGCCAAGTTAAGGAAAGCACAATAATCTTTCCTCCGTGTAAGTGTAACTGTGGAGTGATGTTTTTGGCTCTCAAGACATGCTGACAGGATGTTATGTTTGCAGGGAGGAGTGCTGCTCCTGGTGCTGGCACTGTGCTGTAAGGTTGGTTTTCACATGGCTTCCCGGAAACTATCTGTAGATGTAGGTGGAGCCAAGCGTCTCCAAGCTCTGTCTCATCTCGTTTCCGTCCTTCTGTTGTGCCCATGGGTCATTGTCCTCTCTCTGACAACAGAGGTAAGACAATAAGCACAAAGATAAACCCTTTTTTGTGATGCTTCTGCTTGCAAAGTGCCGTTTTTATCTTCCCTTTAAAATGCCTCTAAGATTAGCAAAGCTGTTTTATTTGTTTTGGTAGTAAGCTCTGTTTGAAAGGTTTCCTTTGTGGTTTTTTTCTTCTCTATTGTGATTTATATCTGTGCAATACCTTAATTTCCTGTTTTATGTGATAATTTTTATTTCATCTTCCTAGCTCAGATATTACATCTTGGGTTCGTCTACTAACGTTGCACAGGCATTAATGACTTTTATCACAGGGTTGACCTGCCTGGTGGGGTTGTTTTATTATCACAGAATCACAGATTCAGCCAGATTGGAAAAGACCTCAAAGATCATTGAGTCCAACCCTACTGTCGTTACTAGACCATGGCACTAAGTGCCACATCCAGTCTCCTCTTGAAAACCTCCAGGGATGGTGAATCCACCACCTC